GCCTGGGAGATGGTACCATTTCACGGACTACCAAGACAACCAGGAGCAGGATTTGAAAAACAAATGGGACTTATTCACTTGCCATCAGGACAGAACAGTGTCATACAAGCCAAGGACCACGGGTACGCGCGACCGCCAAAGGAGGCACCAACGCCGCAGGAAAGGGCCACCACACTGGATCACGCTTACGGTCAATGCAATTCAGCGTGAAAAACACATCAAAAACGTGTGTACCGGGGTAGGCGAGAAACCTTCTTTGGGGGGAGAGTAAGGCCGCACCCTTACGACCGAACGCAACATCTAGGGGAGGGAGACGCGAACCAGGGATGCGCGCGAACACAGGGGGTACGCAAACACCAGACCGGCTGGCGCCACGAACACGTGTTCGCGAGACACGGTGGAACCAGGGACACGTGGAGGATGATGACGAGGCGGAAGTGATCGGACAAGGAATCGGAGCGCGGAAGGAAGGGGCATTCTGATCTGTACTCTTGAGACGTGAAGTTGTAATCTCTGACCTCTAGTCTGTGACTTGTGAAATAGAAGGACATGTGTGTGTTACCTTCACTGGAGTATTTCCTTATTGTTTTTAGTTCCCCATAGAAAAAATTAATAAAAAGGCCTGACATGAGGACACTCACTCAACATAGGGACATTTTGTAATAAAGTTGCACGTGAGTTTCAGGCCAAATTACATGAAACAGATATTTACAACCCTAAAATTGATGTAAGAAAAATTCTTGGGCATTTCTCTCAGCAATTTACCATCCATTAAGCTAATAAAAAAAAAATTATCTCCAGCATAGAGGGACGTCATTCTCTCTTTTTACTCAAATGTTTTTTTTTTTTTTACAGAGAATGCCAACATTTCTTTATACTGTACAGAGGTACGTCATTCTCTCTTTTTACTCAAATGTTTTTTTTTTTTTACAGAGAATGCCAACATTTCTTTATACTGTACAGAGGTAACAGCAGTATATTCAATTCCCAAAATGTCCATATTGTGTTGAAATATATTGATTGAATTAGTTTGAATTGGGAGACAATTTTCATTTTCATGGAATTAGGGTGCTTATTTTGTCAATGAAACACCAAGTGAAAACTATATAATTCAAGTCCAAGGGAAAATGAGACTCAACTTGGGGACATTTTGACTTAGGGACACTCTTGATGCACCACTTATGTCTGCATCTCCAGGTCTCATATCTATTGTATTTGGTTATGATAATATCCATTGATCAGTATACAATGTATTTTTTCTCTCACCATATCTGGGCATTCTCAAATGCTTTCAAAGAGCATAATATGAGATAAAAAAGATGTTCTCCTTTCTTTATTGCAGTACAGAATAGTTAAAACTGATGGACAATTCAACCATCCCAAAGTCAAAAACCTCCCAATGTCAAATTTTTATGAAGTCCATGTCTGAATTCCCTCATAGAAAAATGCATTAAAACCCCTCTCTGATGCTAGAGGCTTTTCATTTACCTGCTATACTTTTTTTTTACGCAAGAAAGAGAAAAGCAAAAATACATTTAAATTAATTAGGAAGTGAAAGATTAATTCTCCAGATGAATCATTGTTCCAAACAAGTTCAGAATCCTATCAACTGCTGTAATTTAAAAATAAATTTAACGTTAAAAATATCACTAATCACTGTAAAATTTTCCATTAAACATCCCTCTTTTTCCCCAACAAAATCACTTATTTTCTCAAATTAAAACCACCCCTGCTTCAAATTTTTTTGCTGGTCTCATTGAAGTTTGACTTGAAACATGTTCCACAGCATATTGATAAGACTCGCATTATAATAGAGCCGAATAATGAATAATTGAGGTGAAAATCGTGAGTTGAAAGGCCTTACAAAAATTTAAATAGAGGTGTTTTTCAAATATAGCCAAAATATCGGTCAATGATTCAAGCGAATTACGTGATCCGAGTCACGATCCCGCGCGGAGGATTGAAATTTCTTCATCTATTCGGTTGGCGACATCTGGGCAATTAAGTATTAAACACTTGAAGGGCGCGCTTGGTCATCTCGATGACAGGTGTCGCTCACTACCAATCCGTAAACGAACCTTGAGAGTCGCGGCGTTCTTTGACCGTTCCCGCGAAGATCCCACCGCCGCCGCCGAGGGACGGGATCGGCGGGTGTCCGTCCTCGTCGAAGGACGCCGCGACGACAGGCGCCGGGCCGGGCGGTGGGCCGCCACTAACCGACGACGCCGTCGACAACGGAGGCGGCGCTGGACGCTGCGGCAAAGGACGTGCTGGTGGCGGCCCTGCAGCTGCAGCAGCAGCCGCCGCTGCTGCTGCTGCTGTTGGGGGCGTCGGTGAGGCGCCTGCGGCGGCGCCGAAGAGTTCGTCGCGTTCGCGGATCTGCTGCGCCGTGAGTGATGGCGGCGGTGGCGGCGGCAGCACGGGTCGAGAGTCGTCCGTCGTCGGCGAGGAGACGACGGAATTGGGCTTGCTGGCTGTCGGAATGCGACGATGTTGCGTAGATGTCGCTGCAGTCGCGGCGGACGCGGACGTGGTGGTGCTTGTGGCGCTGGGTTCGTCTTTGCCCAATGGTATCGTGGCAAACAGCGTCTATATATTTTTTTTCATCAGATTGAGGAGGAGGACGAATCATCATATATAATTCCAGATTTATCATAGTATCCATTGATATACAGTGAGACCCC